CAGGTGAGTCTCCTCCTAAGGCAACTGTTGTGATAAGCACCATGTAGCAAGGCCAGGAGGACCCCAGTATTGCCCATCGAAGCCTACGCTGACCTCTCACCACCTTGAAACCCCTCCCTAAATTGTGTAAAACTGCAGCAGCTTCCACCTCTGAGGTGGAGCCTGTGGAAACCACAAATCCCAGAATACAGCTCTGAGGTGGCAGCTGCACCGTGACGGGACGCTGTCTTCTGTAATACAGGAGACCAGGGTCCTGTGCCAGCCCCACCAAAATCTGATATGCTTGTGATACCAACAAGGCAAAGAGTCTTCCAAGAGCCCCACACCTGTGATGAGTGTGTACGGCACAAGGAACTCCATCGTGTCCCTCCAGCTACAACGTGTTACGGAGGATTCATGATTTTGCCACATTAAAGAGAAAAGACACAACTCACACAGTGAGCTGCATCCTGGTCTCTAAAAAAGGGCACCTGGAGAAAAGCACGCAGCCCAAATATCCCCTTCGGGTGGCTCTGGTCGCCATGGCAATGTCTGAGCTCTTCACCAGAAGTGGCTGAAAAACATCCCATGGCCCAGATCCCAAGCAGTGAAGCTTTGCTTGTCTTCCCCAAACAGGATGTCTGCATCCAAAGCCTGCATTGCAGGGAGGGGATCGTGACCACCCCTTGCTCCTTACATGGCAGTCCTGGAATCGGGCTGGTACCCAGAGGCCGCGGGGCTGCTGTGCAGTAGGGTGGCAATCGGACTGCAGATCCTCTCGCTCGAGCTGGAGAGAAGCCTGGTGAGAGAGAGAAAAGTCCATGGGCATTGGAAACATAAGCCATAACAGAAGGATAGTTTGGGAGGGTGCAATATTAAGGCCCTTAACCATATTGATTAATTCATCTTTATCACCAACCAAAAAGGCTCCTTTCTCTTTTTACATCTGCCACAAAACATTACTACTTCCCTGGAGAAAAAGTCTCATTTATAGGGCCATGGGAGAAAAGACCAAACCAGATCTTGAAATAAGTATAGGCCTGAAACGAATAATGCAGCCTGAATGGGAGCAGCTATGGAGAGAGATGGCACACAGCAGATTGCAGGAGAGGAGGAGATGGGGACATACTGGGCAAAGTCCAACACAACCGTCCCCAGAACAGCTATCCCCCAACTTTGTAATTTCAAAAGCTGCAGAAGGGAGAAGGCGGCAAAACCATGGCTACTAAAACGTGTTCAGGAGACAGCTCTGCCTGTCCACCCAGTAATGAGACCGGGATTATGTTTGCCTCACCGGGATGAAGCTGATCCAAGGATCTTGTGCCTCCTGTTCACACCCACAACTTACTGCCCTTTACAGATCCAACACTCAGACCTACACTGGTGCCTTCATACAGTGTCAGACCACATGTGGATGGACTGATGCTGCCATGAAGGACTGCAGAAAGCCCATGGAAATGGTAATCCACATTGAATACCTCCTACCCCTTCCAACAGCCTTGTTCTGGGACCAGTCCAGTCATTTAATCATAGACATCCTGGAGTTGGTGATCCTCTCTCTTTGCTTTTAGCTCTCTTTTTTTCCCTGTAGTCTCTGCAAAGGCTGATTTCTGGTCAAGGGAGGGTGGGCAGGAGCCAGCCCTTCATTCCCTTCACCCCAGATGGTGAAAAATCTCCAGAGATCGATGTATCGCAGGCCCTGTGCTGGGCAGCTTTTGCTAGGAATGGTTTAAGAGTAGTTCTGTGCCTCCAGATCACACATGCACTCCCTGGAAACCATTCATCTCTCTCTCAGCTCTTGGCTTTGCTTCCTGCGTTCTCTTTCACAACCATTTCATGGATGTTTCCCTCACAACCATCCAGACTGCCCATTTACCTGGTGCTGTTATAGTTTAAGCTGTCCATGTAGAACGGCACCCTGTGGCTTCTTGGGTACATGGACATGGTGGTTTCTCTGGGAAGGGAGTCGTGGCTATGAAAGGAAGTGATACAGTCTCAAGCACTGAACTTGAGCACGTGAGGGATCTTGGCTAAGTATCTCCCTGCTCAGCATCAAAATCACCCACACACCACAGGCATCCACGCAAACGGCACCTCACTGCACATGCTTAGATCCAGAGAACCAGTAAAAGCAGATCAGGACACTCCAGATACTGAATAAATGTAGCAGTGAGGTCTTCTTTGGGTTAAGAAGTCTGGATTCCCTTTGACTTCTTACCGTGGGGCTGTGGGGTTAAATCCACAGTGCCCCCTGGCACCAGCGCTGTCGTATCTGCTGTTCCTGGGGCTGCTTCTCCCATCGTAAACTCGCCCTTCGTAATCCGGGGTAGGTCTGGCAAGGAAGCACAAAGCCCTGATTGCATTGCACCAAGAGTCACTGGAGTCCCCACACTGGCTAACTAATATTTTGTCTTGCTATCATGATGCATTCTCCCTTTGTTCTGCCCATACAAACCTCTGAGGCTAGGAAAGCAGACTCAAACTCTAATGCTTGAGAGTGAAGCCAAAGCAGTCCATAAACTGATATATTTTCAATATTGTTTCCTTCTCCTCTGCTCACCAAAACCACCACTGCACCATTTGCACGTGCTGGCCCATCGGGCTGTCAGACCTGCACATTTTAATTTTTCCCAAGGCAGAAGTCACTGCTTTAACCTGTGGGCAGACCTCAGGCTCTTTCAATAGAGAAAACGAGCAATAGCTTATGGTCACTCTTTTTTTGCAAGTGCCTTGGGGCCCAGATTATGTTTATATTGCATATCAGCACTCTGATCCTGATTAAAGCTTCAGGCAACTGTATAACTTAATATTAAACAATGCTGAAAAACACTGCAAATCAGTGCTGCATTAAAGAGAAAAAGAGGGACGGGCTAAGCTCATCGTAAGATGAGAAAAACCCTGCTCTGGGCAAGACACGCATTTGGTCTGATAGAAACCCAAGGGCAGGAGTGAAGCAGGAGTTTCCTACACTGCAGAGAGATGTCAGCATCACACATTGCTGGGGGCGATAACAGGGTGTGGAGCACAAGAAAGGTCTGTCCCATTTCTTCTAGTCCCAGTCTGCAAATGCCTCCAAAACCAAATGGGAGCTTTGTCACTCCAACTTGCTGAAAAATGCTAAAACAAGTGAAAGCTACATTCAGATCATGTGTTTGTGTGCGTGTAAATATATATATAAATAATATTTATAAGTGTACGACTTGTCTCTTAAGTCATTGAGGGTCATGAGACATAAAAACCAGTCTGCTCCTGAATCATCTTTGCAGTTAGAGAAAGGCAGATGTGGTCTCTACACATCTGTCAAGTTTACACCACCATGAAGGTGGTCTGAATACAACCTGTCAAGAGCTCTGCAGTTTTCCAGAGCAATCACCAACTCAGATCTCCTGAATCCCTTCTTCAGCCCTTCAAGTCCAAAACCAATCTTGTTCCATGTGTTGTGAGACCTGGCAATACTGTTGCTCCCTTTGGGAACAAAATCTTGTTCTCACTTCTTGATGCAATGATCGTACGGCCTGGATCAGAGCTTGTGTCAAATATTCCTGTGCCAGCAGCTTTCCCTGTCTCTGCATCCCCTCCCCAAACCCTTACCTTCTGGTGCTGAATACTTGGCTGTCTACGTAGGATGGTATCCTGTGACTGGGTGCTGGCATGCTGGTGTTGAAAGGCTGGCGATCCATGTACGATGGCATGGGATGCTGGGTCTCATATGCACCAAGAGCACTCTCTTTTGAGCTGAAGTTAGACCTGCTAAAGAATTAGAGCCCATTTGACCACGTTGACTGGATTTTCTAGGACCAGCTCACACAAGCGTTTGGAATTTGCTGAGGCTGGGCTATGCCTCTTTCCACTGGCAATAAGGATATCCTGGGACACCACACTGTTAATAGGGGTTTAAGGTGGGTAGCAGAGGTTTGTACTGCTTCCCCTCACCTGCATGAGCTGAATTCCCAGCACAAGGAAATGCTGCAAGAGTCAGCAGTAACCTAAGTGAATTTGTTAACTGGAATGAAATATGAACAGCCAGACATGGGTGGTATCCTAACCCTGATATTCCTTTGGTCAGTACGGTTTGATCAGTGTACACTGGGCAAATTTACATGGGTCTAGTGCTTCAGCCAGGTTTGGATCAAGAAGCAGAAATAGCAAAGGATGAGAGCCATTGGTGGGGAGAAAGAAAGGGATAGCCCCCCTGTACCTGGCTGCCACTGGGTGAGGCTCAGTGTGTCTCCAGTCTCCGGGGCTCTCATGGTGGCTCTCTGTGGTGGGATGGGTATGTTCTTCATAAGCTGGAGTGATCCTGGTATGGGGGGAAAAGCCTGTTAGCAGCTTTAGCACTTGTGTCTAAGCCCATCCACTGTGGTGAGTAAATGCAGGAATATCATGATTATGTTGGTTTCAGAATTCACCAGCCAAGAAATGAGCATTTGTAATGCCTTTGAACAGGGCAACAGGGAGGACACAATATGTGCAAGAGCAGTAGAGATATGCCTAGTCCCTGGCTCTGTACCTGTCCTGGCATGGGTCAGATTCATTGGCACGTTGGGTCTCTGGAGCAAAGATGCTGCTTTCCCTGGGTAGAGAGCTGGACCTGCCAAGTCAGAAGACCATTATAGTCTGCAGAGGTGCTACTGCACATAGAATTACTGTAGGATGTGGATGCAACTCCTGGTGAATCTCTTGCCACAAGAAAAGTACAATATCCCTGCATACCTTGTCATGCTGGAGTCATGTTCAGTATGTTCCTTTGACCTAGGAGGCTCTGAGTGGACATCATGGTCAGGAGGTCCTTGCTCCTTCTCAGTATGGTTGTTTGAGTCTGAAATCCTAAAATAAAGATCTGTGCTTAAGGCGGTGGAGAATAAACATGCTGGGGTGGGTAGACATCCATTCTCTAGACAGGAGCAATCAGGCAGGGAGCAGAAGACACTGTTTGGCCAGAGCTATTCCAAACTTGGCTTTCTGTTTGCTTATCCAGTGGGATAGGAACTCCTCCAGGGGAGCACCGTGGCTGCCTCCACTAAGGTTTTAGGGCATACAGTGCTGTAGAAGTGATGATGATGATGATGGTTGTTTAACTGTTTTCCCTGTGAGTTTTTAGAGACCTTTGCCACCTCTGCACGAGGCTGCAGAACCCAAAGCACTCAAAAGCTGTACCAGTGCATGCAAACAGACTCCCAGGAGCGCACCCCAATTGTCCCACAGCCCCAGCTCGTAAGGGAGATCAGAGCTGAACGGTGCCACACAAAAGCAAGGCTAGGGGCTGCTGGGAAGAAATTGGGAAACATTAAATGCAGTTGCTGTGTGGTTAATCTTCAGTGAACACGGCAGGAAGTTTACTACTTCAACAGATGCTGGAGAGAGGAGCAGTTTAGAGCTCCTTGGACAAATGGCCCTTAATTATGCTGCTGTTCTTGTGCTCGCTATTTCCTGAGCAATCAGTATTTCCACAGCTTTCAACAAGGAGAAAGAACATTTTAGCAAATGTGGGGTTAGCATCCCAGCTCCTTACGTTGCTTCATTCCAGTAAGGTTTGCTGTATGCTGGGACCTCGGGGCTCGTGTATCTGCTTTCTTGGGTGCAGCTTCTCTCCTTATAGCCCAGGACAGATCTGATAATCAAAGAAAGGCCCATTACAACTTTAATAATTGGCACGTGAAGCCTTGCACTAGTGAATACTATCTACTCACCAGGCAAGGATTGTGTCAATCTCTACCATTCCCTGTCCTGCACCAGGATTTTTCTCTAGGGACAACATTTAGACTACAGTTGCATTTCAGTGTATTTCAGCTACCTTGCTGCCACTGCAACATTTCACTGCATTATCAGCAAATGCGAAGGTAGAGACTGAACCTCACCAAGCACACAAGTACCAAGAGGAGAAAAAGAGCTGGGGTGCTCATTTCAAAGAAGATGGAGGAGGGCTACAATGCAAGCCTCTTGGTTTATTTTGGAAGCTGCGCTTTAATCCGCAGCACAGTTGCTTTCATCCTTGGGACAAAAGGTGTGAGCAGAAGCCTCTTCCTGTGCCTGTCCGCTCAGATTGCCTTTAATCCTCAGCATTACTCACACACCCACTAAATTTAACCCCCTTTTACCTTTTAAAGGAATATTCTGTGTCCTCTAGGTGCACAGGGGCATTCTCAGTAGGAAGAGAAGGGACATCAGGCTGCAAGCTAGACCTGTGAAAAAAAGGAAGGAATCCACAGCTTGATAACTTGCCAAAGACTTTGAGGGGGACTTGTATGAAATAACATCATTACACTTATTATATGCAACCAGAGAAGATAAAGTAATTTTTTCAGAGAACTGATTTTCCTTCAGAAAGAAACATTTTCACCATCTCTAATCAAGAAGAATAGAGGCTGTTGGTGGAACTAATGCAGTTACTTTACCTCAACTCACACACGTCTTGGCTGGATACAAGACTTTTCTGGCCTGTCACAGAATCACACATCTGGGACAAAATACAACATGAAAACTTTGAGGAGATGTCCCTGCATTACGAGCAGCAGCTCTAAGCTGTGGGACTTACACCATCCTACTGGGAGCCTTGTGATCCCTCTCACCTCAGCTAGGAGGTTTGGAGGTGTCATTTGCTCAAGTCCTTTGGTATGCCAATACAGGGAGTCAAGTCCCAAAATAATGGACTAAAGCAAGCAAAGAAAGCAGCTTTAGGAAGATTAGTGTGTTCGGTGTCAACAGCAGCAATTTTCTCCTAACTCCACACCTCTGACATTGTCAGGGGAGCAAGCATGCTCTAAAAAGCACGTGGAGTGGAGACACTTCTGAGATCAATGCTACAAGCAGTGCTAAATCTGCTGTACCTGCTGCCAGGCTGCTTCTGTAGAAAAGTTGATGTGTGACAGTGAACAGAGATAACGCCATTCCCACTGTTTGGCCACCTAGGATTTTCTGGCTCCCTTTGCTTTGTTACCCAATTTTCATTCTGCTTCCAACTCTGCTTTGGACCAGTTACTTATTCTCCCCCCCACATCTGCCCTTTGTGAGCAGCGCTGTGAGTACAAACACCAGGCCCTGACCTTGCGGGTTCAGACCTTACATCCCCCAGGTAGTGGGAGGTCTCGTACTGATGCTGCAGCTTCTCTGTAGCATCTGTAGGTCCGTCCCTGCATCCAGAGCTGGACCTGGTAAGAGAGGGGGATTTGTGGGTCACAGGAGGAAGCTTTGCAAGTTAGAGAGCACAGCAAGAAGCAAAAACATCAAATATGAGGTTTTCCTGTCTCAGACATAACATCTTTTCCTCCTTCCTGCATAGCTCAGTCAATCTCCTGCAGCAGACCTGGGCAGAGACACAAATCCAACCAGCTCACGCTGGTGCCAGGGAAGACACTGAAAGATCTCAGTCCATTTTCAGCTGGTGGATCAGATCCACCCCCGCTTTGCAAGCGCTGCTCCCAGAACAGAGTTTTTAGGGCAGTATTAGGTCAGGAAAAGACCCCTCTCACACTAAAATCAAAAAGAAAAACTAAATTTTACACTGTTAATAGGTTTACACTTACTTTGGTGGGTAAAATCCATTGTTGGCTTCTGTGTGTTCAGGATAACTGAAAAGGAGAGACATCAACTTTGGAAAGCCTCTTTGGTTTGGTTTGCGTAATGTTCTTCAATTATTTTCTTAGGCATTCATTAAAATAAAACTTTAAAACTTTTCTTAAATAAAACTTTAGAGAAACTGCTGTGGTTCTGCAAAGCACAGACCGAACTGTGCTTTTCCATCAGTAAATATCCACTCAGAGTTTCCAGATGGCTCAAGAGCAGCAGTTTACGATTTGCACAATGCCCAAAAATCAATAAAGGGATTTCACACCGACTCTACCTTCCATTCATGGAAACCACGCTTGCTCTGGGGGCCACTGCATCCCATGGGAACGGCTCAGACTTTTCCTTCAGGGGTTTGTCACTAGAAAAAGGAAAATGCCAGTGAGATATGGCCAGAGAAGCACAAAAATGGGGCTAACTCAATGTATTAGGATAGGAAGGAGCAACCTTCTGAGCACAGTGGGCCTGCCACAGTTTTTGGGTCACTTAGAGATGTGTTGCTCCCGGCAGCGAGGTCCTGCTCACCCTCAGTTGTCGTCCTCTCTGCTCATGGCCTTCCTACAGCCCCACCATGTGGACCCTACACCCATCCTTCCCTCCCCAGACCTGTCAAGCTGCGTGTCTGTCTCCTTCCTTCCCTGCTAATTACTCTCTCCAGTTTTAGGCGGCTTAAGTAATGAGGCATCCTCTAATTTCTCTGCGAGACTGACGCACAATTAGGAGCAGCTACGTGACCCAGCTGACCCCCAGCACAATGAGTGCATTGTCATCGGGCTGTCCCCGCAGTGACACACAAGGATGTATTTATGGGCCTCAGCTGAATGACCACTGACAACAGCCTAGCCTCTACCTTTCCTCAAGCACTCGAGACTTTGCTTCAGCCTAAGAGATTGGTCTGGGAAGATTTCTAGCTTTATCTTCACTGATGGAGGTGTAGAGCAAGTTGTGTTGTAGCTACGCAGTGTCATAGCTCTTCTCCTTAATGTGTCCAGCACCTCTAGCCATCCCTTTAGGGTCTCCATCAGTTCCTTCTTTCTCAGGTTTTCCTCCACACAACAGCTTTTCACGCTTTCCCGTTGTTCAGCCACCCCTTCAGCCGTGGTGCAGAGGACCAGAGCCAATGTTAGCAGGAGCCAGCAGCCACTGAGGTTCAACACATCCCATGTAGGTGGAAGAAGCTCCCCAGGGAACAGCAGTGGGAGGGCAATTGGAGCAGTAAAAATAAAAGAAAAACTAAAAAGCATGAAGTAGATTCTCTAGGGACTGAGCCAGAGAGGAGAATCCTTCAGCAAGGTGAAGGAAGAGCAGAGAAAGCTACTCACTGCAGCCTAGCAAGCAGATGATGCTCTTGGAGAGCAGCCCAGGCCCATGACTGCAGAGATCCCATCTGTTTGAGACCACTAGCAGGTACAGACTATTTCTGAGCAAAAAGCAGGTTTACGCCTTCTGTTCAGCAGCACAGATCAGCCTTTCGCAACTTCTTACCCGTCGCCGTGCTGTGACACAGTTTCAGATGAGGATTTCCCATTTGGGGCCTGTCTGTTTTTACCATTTCTGCAAGGAAAACAGCAGGAACGATTAAGTAGGGAGATGAGGGGACACAACGTGAGGCACAGGAATGGTACAGCGAGGTGCTTGTTGGAAGAGCGCTATGTACAGCGCAGGGGTTGGTTTAAAAGGAAAACCTGATCACTTTAGGAGACAGGAAAGTCTGCAGTTTTTGGACTCGTATTCTCATGTTCAATGTGGGAGGCCCGCAGCTCCCATCTGGGTCTATTTTCTCACAGATAGCTAACGCTTTTGAAAAGTGCTGCTTCCTCAGATCCCCTGCGCTGCAGTATTTATTGTTCCATGGCTGCACCGTGTCCAGAACAACCGCGTGTGCCTGGGAAAATACCACCACACAGAGCCAAACCTCCCAGTGCAGCACAACCTCTGCTACCCCCTGCTACTGCTTTGGGATGATGCAGGGCCAACAACTGACCTGATTTCAGCAGAAGCCGAGATCCTCTCTGAAGCCTCACTCAATGCTGGGGTTGTTTGGCTCTTACTGCCCATTTCAGGGCTACAAGAGAAAGCAAAGAAAAAAGCATTCATTCCTGAACAAATCAGTTCCCCACTGCAGCCGGCCAAAATTTGCCTGCATTGAAGTGTTCCTTGCTGTGAATAAATAAAACGGGAAACAGACATCACTGTTTTCAATACATTCACTTACTAAGTCATCTTATCAGATGCAATTTTTAAACTAAAAACACCGATATTGCCAGGAATATCCACCTTCTGCCAATGATACACAAAGAACAAAAATAACAGCACAAGGTCCATAACCAAAGCACTGTTTGCAGAGCTCTGGAAAAGCATTTCAAGGTTTTTTTATAATACAGTCATGAATTCTATCGAACAGACAAAGTTAAAATCTACTGAAAATTATTCCACTACACAGATTTAGCAATAAAGAGTGCAGCACGTTTGGATTTTTTCCTTTCAGGTTTTGAGTACTTCTGTCAGGATGTTGTCAGGTCCTTGCAGGACACAGCACACATTTCAGACATCAAATCATTTTTAAAGCAGCTGCCTGCACCTGTGCAAAGTCTCCCAGGTACAAGGCTGACAAATGTGTACCATTTCACCACCCAGAGGGGTGCCCACAGAAGTCTCTGGCCCACAGCTACACGTGGGTTGATAAAGCCACAAAAGATGCCCAAGACATCCTGGCCATGCCATAAAACTTACCTGGGGGGAGACGCTGCTGTGGTCTTTGCCTCATTCCAGGCAGACCCAGAAGTGGTTTTTCTTAGCCCATTAGTACTGACAAAAAAAACCCCAAAAAAATAAAGCATTAAAGACAGAAGATTTTTTAGGTGCCTTCTCCTGTGAGGGGACACATCCTGCTTGTTCCTATGCTCTGCTGCACTGATGTGACCAGGACCTGTCTTTCTGCTGAAGCACTCGGTCTTTACAAACTGGCTTTTCCTATTTAACACAGCTGGAGCTGTTTTCTAGTCCCAGTGTTTGAATTTGCACTAAAAGCAACTTCCCCAAATGTATAGCTTAAAGCTCAGTGCATTCCTAGAGCTGATTTCACTGTGTGAGGAAAGTAACTGCATCCCAGCCCTGCCTCAAACCTGGACCCTAATGGCACAAAATTGCTACCAAAATTCATGAGGCAGCTCCTTCCTCCTGAAAACAAAGCATTTTGGGCTGAAAAGCCTCATTTATCAGACTTCTTGCTGGGCCCACGAAGGCCCAGAGTGGCTGAGAAGCTAATAACACTGCTGCCTGGCATCAGGCCACTGTTGCGAGCAGGAACAGAGAGCTGAATCCCAAATTAAATGAATCTGCTTGGAAACAGAGAAGGATTCTCCCTCCCAGGGCAAACACTTCTGCATACTGGTCTCACCCAGCCCCACACCATGTGCTTCTGACCAGTATGGACAAGGGGAGGGTATCACTGTTGTCCCTTTACACCAGCAACAGCCTGTCCCCACGGTAAGAACACCCCAGCCTGTCTGCCATGGCTACAAACAGTTCTGCCTACACTGGAGATACACAGTGGGCTGAGAAAGGGGGCTGGGGGCTTACGATGTGGATAACATTTCCCATCAAAGCAAAGATCAATTTAGAGATAATGAACCTCTCAAACCTCTCCAGTCACACCTATCTGTTGCCATCACAGTAGAATAATTAAATCTAAAGTTGAACAAAAGCAGAGAGCTGGCTCAGGGGACTGGAAATAATGAGATATTGAGTATTTCGTATCTAGGTGATGAGGCCAGTTCACGCAGCCAAGTTTGCTAGGAAAGGAAAATCAGTACGATCTGGTGGGTGCTTGATGGGTGGGTGAGCTCATCTCATCCTGGTTTTCCGAAAGTGCTGCCAGGCTAATTCCTGTGGCATACGAGCGCCTCGTGAAGACAGGACGGATCAGGCTGCGCGGCGTGATCCGGAGTGGGGCTCAGTGGAGGGTTTACACCACACAACTTGCATCAGTGTTGCAGTTAAAAGCAGTTTGTCACCGCCCAGGGCTGTCAGTTGGGTACTTTATGAGACTCTGGCCCTGTCCCCATGCCTGCCCATTTCTTCCACCGAGTTGCCTGATGTCATTTTTCAATTTGGATCTTTCCCTTTTTTGCAAGAAAAGGGCAATCAGGATTTCCTAAAAAGTCTTTGGAAAAACTTTCATGTCCAGTTGTGTTCAGATAACTTCTACCTTGCAGATAAATCTGCAAAGATGGCAAATCAGCGTGCCCTAGAATCAGAGACAGTCAACACACTGCTCCAGGATGAGGTACATACCTGTTGTCATCTGGTGTAAACCTGCTCAAACTGGACACAGTTGGACTCCTCCTCTGTTGTCCTTCCTCTTCTTCTATCTCAATTCTTTCAAAAGGCAAAAAGAGAGACAAATATCACACTGTTTTCTATTCCCCAGTTTATTCTTGTTTTCCCTTAAGCTATGTTTTCCCTCTGTTTAAGGAGGCAGACTTTTCCTGCTCCTCACTGTCCCTGTGCTCTGCTACCCATGAGCATCTCAACTGCCTGAATTAAGTGAGGTCTTCAGCCCAACTCAGTGGCATTTTTCTGTCACATTTTTGCTTTACAAATAGCATCAGCTGAATGCTTGAATTCAAAAGCTCTCTGGGCATCATTTCCCTATAGCACCAACTGCTTTAGAAGTTACAAACCTGAAGATCAGGGCACAAACCCAGCAATACTGTGAGAGGGTCAGTGACTTACCTCTTGGCGAACAAGGGTGGGAATTCCTGCGTTGGGCTGCTGTAAAGGAAGCACAAAGGCAACAGTTAGAATTTTGGAGGTGAAGACACACCTTGGGCAGGGGCAGCTCCCACAGACAACGACCCATAGTTTACCCACATGGGGCAAGGCATTAAGGGGTCACATAACAGCATTTGGGCAGAGCTGATGGTGACCGAGTGTGTTAAACCTGTGTGAATTACAGAGCACAGGAAATAAAAACAGGAAGAGCAGGTAGTTAATAATGTGTGAAGTAAAGAAGCTCCCCAAGTCCTGGTTTGAGCTAAGCAGAGCTATTTGTCTATTCAATGATTTTTAATTCTCAGTTAAGTCTCTTCTAAAGGGTCTTTTTAATTTTATCCCCAAAGGGTTCTTTTAATTCTATACCTTCTTGATGGCTGTTTTTCCTTCCTGCACACAAACCTGACTCCAGAGGAGCCAGCAGCCAGTGCGAACGCCCTTCCTTTCCTTCCATCCGCACAAATCCTACCTGAGCACTTCTCTCCTCCTGGGCATAGCTGAGCACTGCTGGCACATCCCCTCCCTGCTTCCTCCCACCCTGGCAACCTCCTGGTGCCTCATTGTGTCACCCTGGGTTATGTCAAGAGGAAAAGGATTTATAGTGAAAAGTGAGCTGCAAAAAAGTCACTATCGTGGCTCCTGGGAGATCAGAGACCTTGGAAATCTGTTTTTTTTCCCCCCTCCCAGAAAAAGAGATGGACAACAGAGCCTTGAACACCGGTAGCTACCACACAGCCTTCACATTCCTGTTACACATCCACACATCACTGTTGGGTTCTTTTACCCACAGAACTATTTTGAAGCTGCAACTAAGATCAGGATCTTGTAAATCTATTGTTCAAACACAATGTAAAGGCAAACTCTGCCATAAAAAGCTGATCCATATTAGATGCGGTTTGTATTTGTTCTGATTTTCCCCTCATGTGCAACAAAACTGGAGAGAACAGCATTAAGAACTGAGTCTGAAAACTGAAGCCTTGATTGCAGGCCCCAGGGAATTAGGAAATATCAGGGTTTTTCTCATCCTGAAATTTCATCCCTCTCAGCAAGGAAAACTTCCCAAGACTCCTGGAGGATTTCCCCAGTTCTACAGAAACCTGCAGATATCCTTGGTGCTTCTAGAGAAACAGCAGCTATGTCTTCTCCACTCATTGGAAAGGTACTCATCGCCTTCAGAGAGCCTTGGGTGAGGCCACTACCCTATGAGACCACCTTCAGCACCCTCTCCCCTCACTCCTGCCCCACACTCGCATCCTGAACGCTCACCCATTGCTTTTCTTGGCCGCCGAGAGGACATAGGCACGTTCCTTGCTGGCCGTGCGTCTCAGGACGCTGTTGGCTGCCTCTGTCCTGGAAGGGAGGGCAAGGATTACACTCTGCTCGTGCTGTTGGTGGTTGCTGGCTGCAGCTTTGAAGGTGAACAACCCAGCTCAGGCTTGTGCTAGCCCTGAAAGAGCTCTTGTGCTCTGGGGAGCAGAAATCCAGCCAGAGCTAAGGGGAGAAACAATGTCTTCTCTTTTTTCTTTAGTATCATTTAGCACTTTCACATGGATGTAAAGCATCAGGGAAAAAAAACCCAAACAACTTCCTCTTGCAGGAAGGCAGAGGGGGTTCCCCTTTACAAGACCTGGACTGTTGCAATATTGCATACTGTGGGACAGAAACACGTTTCATCCCCAGTGGGCAAATTACCAAGTTCTGTATCTGAGGAAAAGTATCTTCAAAAGCTCGGCTGAAAGCAACAAGGATGCTGGCAGCATCAGATGAAGATCTACCACACAGACAAAACACATTCTACTCCTGGTTTGAGAGCAAGACTCATCTGGACCTGGACTTAGACACAAGTCCCCAAGTGGTCTGGACCCAAAGGTGCACAGGTAGGCTGCGGGAGGTGTGCTCCTCCCTTACTGCGAGCTTATTTGTGTGTCTCTGTCTTTTCCCATAGTCATCGTGCAGCCAATGGATTCCACAAGCCATTTCTAGTTGCCAAATTAATTGGGGTATGCTGTCAGGTTAAATCATGTCAGGCTTTTAATTATATTTTGTTGGGAGCACAGTCGCCTGTGGGCACAGATGCACTCTGTGTAGAAATATCTGATTATTATTATTATTTTATTGCAATCAGTCCTAATAGCTCAGCTGAAATTGCCATGACCCTCCCAGTCATATGAAGAGTTAAACTCCACTTGTCGCTGCTGCTGCAAGAAGATGGTTACCTGGAGGTCATACCTCTTTTTGTGCTCATCTGGAGTAAAGGGCACATCCTCCTCATCCAAGTCCACCGATTTTTGCTTGACATTATAAGGAGCTCTGAAACAGAAAGGAAAGGGGAGAGCCAGGGTAAGGAAATAGCCTCTGTAGGCTGCCACAGAGGCAGAACAAGCAAAACCCAAGGTAAATCTAAGGGCAGAGCATATGAAAATGGGTTCAGACCCTGGAAGTGTTGCACACAAGTGTGGAAGACACTTGTGTTTCTCATGCACATTGGGTATGCATGTCCCCACAGGATTTTTCTTTTCTTAGTACAGGGGTTAAGCCTGGAGGCTGGTTCATGATAAATGCTCAGCTGCGTTTCAGATAAGAGCCATGGTCTTTGACATGAAAAGCTGTGCAGGAAATGTCAGCAGTGCTGTTCTGCCACAAGCTCTTTCCTTTCTCCTGGTTTCAGAAAGGCCAGCAATGCTGCAAACCAAGTCCGCAGGCTGCATCCTCCAGTTTCTGCCTTAATTACTGCCGAGTGATAAAATTCAGCCCATACAAAGGCCATTACCAGCTCAAGAAACACCTTATGGCCCACACAGGCCTGGAGGCAACACCGGGAACAGCTTCAGTTTCTGGTGAAAGCTCTGCAGTGCTCAGCTGCTGAAGCCATGGCCAGGCACCCATGTGCAGGTGGCTTCCGCACTGAGGCTGTGCATGGACAGAAAGTGCTGCTCCCCTTTGCACACTCACAGTTTCTTGTAGTCCTCAGTGGTCATCCTGTAACCAGAGGAGGAGCGGCCCGGGCTGTGTACCTTTGTGGGAGCACTGCTGGATGAAAACAGGGGCAAAAATGGGGTTTCAAAAGGTTTCACTTGAGGTGCAACAAAGCGTCTGCTTAGATCAGAGCCATGCTTAGATCTTACTTACTCGAATTAAATCTAAGTGCCTCTCCAAGACAGGTTTAAAGCAACAAAACATTACAAACATCAGAATGAAGTGTTACAGTTCTGTGAAGATTCCTTGTGACTTGTCCCCCACTCAAAACTATCTACCAAATTAAAGCCCAAATCCATGAGTGCTTTCACAGTCAACTGCCATCACACACTCTGGTGAGAAAACTATGGAGTTTGAGACCTTGTCCTTTTCCCATTTGTGCTGAGCAGAGCTGCTGAATGAACAGCCATGTCTTCCAGTATTTAGTAAGGATTTAGTGGAGCTCAGTGGATGCCCACAAGCACTCGTCAAAGTAAAAGGATGACTGGAAATATATACAATATTTAAAAGCTCATTTTCATGAAGAAGAGGAAGACACACACGTACCTTTTTTGTGCTTCATTAGAAGATGAAGAATCTGGCAAGGAAGATGTCTTATCGATGGTTCTTGTGAACACCCCTCTGGGGAGAAGAGAGATCTGTTACATTTTTTTGCAGGACAGAGTTTGAACTAACATTAGGAGACATGCAGCCACTCTTTGGCCTTTGGTGTCTGTGTGTCCTGTTGGGAGGAAAGTGCTGGCTCAGGACACTGAGAATTATCAGGTCCTTCCTTGGGAGGATCATCATGAGGAAAGTCCCATTTTCCTGCTCCCTGGCCTTTACAACAAAGTAAAACCAGCTCACACATGGGTTTGGGTATGGCACCGCAGGGCTTGCCACCCTGTTTAGGGCTATGGTGGCATCAGAGTCTCATGGGGAACAGCCCCTGTGTCAGAGGGAGCTGAAGCACAGAAGCCCCATCACTGGTGCTGTGCTGATCCCAAGGATGGTGGAACATTTCCATAGCATGGTAACTCATCCATCTGTGATCACTGTATCACACAAGGAGAGCTGATTTGCTATTAACATCACCATCAAACTACCTGTTAAACAAAATGCTCAGGACTCTCCTCATCAAGGTTCTCCCTGAGCATTTTAAGGTTCCTAACCAACAGGAGAACCCAAGAGATAGCAATATTTTTCACGCTTGTTGCTCCTGATCTGGTTCTCCTTCCCCTACAGCCCAAATACACGCCACTCCATACGAACCTGATGAGGTAACCGGACTGAGGCTTGGAGGCAGGAGACCTGTGCAAGGAACAGACATCAGGGAGTTAAGAAACTTGGGGAAAACCAGCAGCAGCAGCAGCAGCATTAAAGGGAGATGTCCACGTGGCTGTCAAGTCAAAAATCTAGCTGAGAAAGCCTTGAGCGATGCCTCAGCTACTGCACCAAAATTAACCTTGGAAGGGTTTCTTTCTTTAAAAATGAATAATCATCAGAACAAGCTCTAGAAAAGTTTTTTATAAGAAATGTGAATTTTAGAGTAGAGCAATTACAATTAGCCATGCTGACAGTGTTTTCTGGCCCCAGATTGATGGCACAGAGCAGGGAAATTAGATGTAGTAGATCCTGATTATCTCATCACAGGCAAGGTGGGGACCAGGATGGGCCTCGAGGACCTGGATCCCATCAAATTTGCTCAAGCTCCCTTCACCCCTGCCTGGGTACCACCCCTCTTTTCCTGTCTGTCCAGGTGCCCTGAGGATCACAAGATAATTCAGTAAGAGCTCAGCAGGCCTCTGCTCTAACCTCCTGCTCCAAGCAGAGATAACACAGACAGGAAGCAACAGGATGGGCCCCCAAAATTACCTGTTGCTCTGGGGAGCAGTAGGTGTTGAGGCCGGGGGTCCCCCACCAGCCCGTCCAGACCTGAGTGAAGAATAAACACAAGGACATCATTAACCTCTGGTCTTGCTGAACATGGCAGTGATGTTTTCAGAGGGAGCTGTGCAAAGAGAAGACTAATTTGGGATTGGTTTTGCTTCTGATGAAAGAGAAGCAAGCGCAGGCTGTGGCGTTCCCTGGCACAGTGTGACACAGCCCTGTGAACTGCAGGGGGAGATGCATACCTGGCTGTTTTACCACTTAAACTCCCTCCTGTCAAGGTCTACCCCTTCTTTTGTCACTTCAGGGAGGCTGAAACACAACCTGGCCTCAAAAAACTTTGGAGTTCTCCTGAGTCTCCAAACCTGCCTGAGCTGCTGGGTTCCCAGGAAAGGCCATTTCTCAGAGCTTCTCCCAGCCTGCATTTATTAAAAATAAACAGGAGCACAGCTTCCCATTGGCAGTCATTTCCTGGTGTCATGGGGACCCAGAAACATGCTAGCACCACGTGTGCTTCTTCTGAAGGCCAGGAAGATGATGAGGGAAGGGGAAGGGAAAAGAGGAGCGTTCCTCGATGGCCACACTTACAGCGGGCTGCTCTTCTTCTCCTCCTCAGAGTCTGAGTTGTGGTGGTGGATCCAGCTCTTGTCTCCTTTCAGGGTGGTGCGAACCTTCATCTGCTTAATGATCCTCCTGCGGTCTTCATCCGTGGGGGTGATGGCACCTCCTGGGAGAGGCGGAGGGAAAGGCAGGAGAGGAGAAGGGTTGTGAGAAAGGGCAGGGTGAGCCGGGGTAAATCTCAGAGCTGGGAGCACAGGGCTCCTTTCAGTCAGAAATTCGGACACTGAATGAACCTTTTGCCACTTCTGATGGAAGATGGAAAGAAGCCACCATCCAGACTTCAGGATCGATTTACCCTGATCCATCACCTCCTCTACAGAGTTCCATGCAGCTTTTCCTCCCCTTTCAGAGGACTGTTTAACATTAATGAATCATTTTCTTGCAGGAAGCCCAAAGACATTCAGTGGGTGATCACATATTTACAAGGCAGAGAGTTTCCTATGGCATTTCCCATCACACCAGCCCTAGCATAGGGGTTTTCTGGTTTGTGGGAGAGGGTGATACGTCTGGAGCATGAAGCTGAGCCAAGAGCTGGGGGTTAGAGCTGAGACATTAGATGCAAACACCCAGCCATCAGCTTTCTCTGGTGGTCTGTCAGAGTTGGAGGAGACACATCCTTTGGTTCCTCATTTCCATTACAAAGTTCAGTTTCAAAAACATATTCTCAAACCATGTCTCCCTAACAGTGTGGTTCTGGCCCAAATCTGGACGTGCCCTGTCCTGTGTGGTCCTCTCTTTTGCTGTCCAACAGCAGCTCTGCCACCATCCTCACCTGCTCCTTCTCTCTACTACATTCTCTGGTTGAGAAAGCCAGCAATGGCAAATAAAACATCAAATTATAATGTAGGAAACTGCAGAAAGTCATGGATGAGGAGCTGCTAAGTTTTCCCAGTGGGAAAAATCTTGGGTGAAAAAAGCACAGGTGAATGGGGAGGAGTATTAAAGCCACAAATATTGGGAGCAGGCAGGGACAGCGATGGGGGCTTGGGAAGGGGGAAGTCTCTGACAAGGGAAGGAAATGTGCAGGTGACTGATGTGCAGGGCTGCGGTCGTCCCTGAATGCCAAAATCCTGCTGGACCAAACTGGTTGCAGCTATTTAAAAAAAAAACGGCTTTTTAACTGGGAAATTCCCCACCCAGCATTTTCTTCTGAGCTAATTAGCTGTTTTCCCATGAGGAAATTGTAAGATGAAGATCAGATAAGGAAATCTCCTTTTCTATGCATTTCTGACCATCTTCCACCTTTTGCCATTTTGGAAATGACTGGCAAAGGCTGAAAACATCACGCTCACTCTCCTCATCACACTTGGACCAATGCAGCTCAGAGCTTCAGAGACACCTACAAGTTATTGCAGCTTTGCAACTTCTTATCATCCATGCCAAGGAAACTGCCTGCACACCACACTCTTAGCCTATGGCACACATGAAATAATTTAGCTACCAGGAAAGGAGGGTCAGCCAAGTCTCTGTATCTTATGTTCGTGATGAGCTAGAAGGCTGCTCAAAAATAGTTATCACTGAGCAGCTGACATGCAGTAAATTGATTAATCTGATACATGGTCATGTGCTTCAAGTATATATTATATAGCAGAGGTAAAATTATGATTATTTTTTTAAATAACTGGTCACATTGGATCCTCTTGGAGGAAAACACAGCTATAGCAATGAAGTAATTATATATCTACATATAATCTATGGCAATTCCTGTGGAATTAGCAGTCAGAAGGCAGAGTTACACAGGGCCACATCCACATCAGGGTGCAGTTTGGGGACCAGCAGTGGCAGCTCTCGTGAGGAGCACCTGGAAAGAGATGAGCTGCTTTTCCTAGCACTGAAGTTGAAAATTAAATCTATTGCCTAATGGAAATGAACCCTTAACAAGAGGGCATGGGTGGACAGAGATAAGGGAAGCCACTCTGGGTGGCTGCTGCAGTGGCTGCTCGGCGCTGCTGCGTTTTCAGCAGAAGTTTCAAAGACAAAGAATTTTAAGGAGGGTCCAGAAAAGAGAATAATATGGGGGCTTATTAGTCTTTCACTCATCTCAAAACCTCAGCCAGGCTCTAAGCTCTCCAACTCTCTGTAGCTTCATGGATACTGAAATTATAGCTAAATGCACATAATTTTGGAGCTGCAGGTCCCAGAGAAGGAAGAGGTGTCCTCTACCCTGGGACACACTGCACCGGGGAGTCGAGCAGAGATGTGACAGCAGATACAACTGAGCATAAAGGGCAAAGAAGAGCCAGGAGAGTGGGCAGACACAACAGCTTGGGATGGGAGAAGGAATTATCTTTACTGACCCCCAACATTTGGGATGGGGCAAGGAATTACCTTTACTGATGCCCAGGGACATCATGGTTCTCAGAAGCGCCTTCCCCTTCAGTCACTGTTTGAGGACAACAAACCCCTGGAAAAAAATGAGAAAGGCGAAAAACAGATCAGTCATCCTGATGTAAAAAGAAGTTATGTGGAAAGGAGAGCACCACAACAGCGTCACAGCCATGGAGCCCGGAGG